GACAAGTGGTGCCAAATTCTTTCAATTTCTGTTTGTTATACAAGGTCTTTATTTCACCCTTCATTCACACATAAGAGCTTTGCAGGGTATAATATTCTGGGATGACAGTTTTTTTCTCTTGAGACTTGGACTATATCTAATCATTCTCTCCTAGCCTGTAGGGTTTCTGATGAGAAATCCGCTGTGAGTCTAATTGGAGATCCTCTGAAAGTACCCTGGCATTTCTCTCGTGCACATTTTAGAATCTTCTCTTTATGTTTCACTGTGGTGAGTTTGATTACAATGTGTCGTGGCGAGGTCACATCTATTGGGAATTTTGTGTGTTTCCTGTACTTGGATGTCCTTTTCTTTCTCTAAACCTGGGAAGTTTTCTGCTATTATTTCACTTAGGCCTTCTAGTCATTTCTCTGTCTCCATGCCTTCAGGAACTCCTAGAACCCGTATGTTGGTTTTTTGTATATTATCCTGAAGATTCCCAACAGTGCTTTTTAGTTTTCTAATTTCTTCTTCTTATCTTTGGTTTGACTGTATACTTTCCTGTGTTTTGTCTTCTAAGTCCAATATTCTCTCTTCTGCTTCACTAATTTTATTTTTAAGGCTCTCCACTGTGTTTTTTATTTCTTCTATTGAATTCTTTATTTCATTTTGATTTCTCTTTAAGATCTCAATTTCATGTTATATTGAATTCTTCATTTCATTTTGATTCCTCTTTAAGATCTCAATTTCATGGGAGAATTTTTTTTTGACAAGCAGAGTTAGAGAGACAGAGAGAAAGGTCTTTCTTTCCGTTGGTTCACCCTCCAAATGGCCGCTACGGCTGGCGCACTGCACTGATCCAAAACCAGGAGCCAGGTGCTTCCTCCTGGTCTCCCGTGCGAATGCAGGGCCCAAGTACTTGGGCCATCCTCCACTGCCTTCCCAGGCCACAGCAGAGAGCTAGACTGGATGAGGAGCAACCGGGACAGAATCCAGTGCCCCAGGGAGAAATTTTCTTTCATGTCCTGCAAAGATTTCAGTAGTTCATGCATTTGCTTTTGATTACTTCTGTGTAATCTTATAATTAATTTTTTGAGTTCCATTTCTTACATTTCTTCTATCTCATCGTCTTCACAATCTAGTATTGTAGTGTCATATTCTTTTGGGGGCATCATATTGTCTTCCTTATTCTTGTTTCTTGGATTGCTGCGTTTGTTATTCGGTATTTGTGGAAATACCCGTTGGTTTGTTCTTCTCCCCCACCCCCCCACTGTGGCAGCTTTTATTGTAATACTATGACTCTGTGGATAAGTGGAATGTCTGCTTTCAGTGAATCTCTAGAGGCTTGTAGTGGGTGTGGCCAGAGAACTCTGTTCAGTTCTCCAGGTTAAGGATGTGCCTAAGGTGACACACCCAGGTTTGGCATGGTAAAACTTCTCTTTCTCTCTCTCTCCCTTTTTTTTTTATCAGAAGGGAGGTATATTATGCTCAGCTGAGGTCCTCTCCTCAATGGAGACCAGTGTCTGAGCGCTAGTCCCAGTGTGTATAATATTCATACACTCTGTCCCGAGGACTACACAAAGGATCTGTGCATTCTCCAGTGTAAGTTCAGATTCCCCAGCAATGTCTCTCACCAGGTAACCAGGAACCCGTGGCTAATGGTGTCTCCCACAGAGACTGCTCAAAGTCCCAGACACACCATGAGTCCTCCCACATATCTTCTGTTTTTTTCACAGTCCTGGTTCAGCAGCTTCACACAGTCACAAGCTCCTAGCCCCCTGTTAGTTCTCCCCACCAGAGTCAGGAGTCTCCGCTCAGCTGTATGCCGGGTGCAGAGACGAGCTGGCACAGCTGTTATGTATGTCCAAAATGTCGCCCACTCTATCGACTTGTTACAGTACGCTGTTGTAAAGTGATTGGGGGCTGGCGCCGTGGCTCAATAGGCTAATCCTCCTCCTTGCTGCGCCGGCACACCGGGTTCTAGTCCCGGTCGGGGCGCCGGATTCTGTCCCGGTTGCCCCTCTTCCAGTCCAGCTCTCTGCTGTGGCCTGGGAGTGCAGTGGAGGATGGCCCAAGTGCTTGGGCCCTGCACCCGCATGGGAGACCAGAAGCACCTGGCTCCTGGCTTCAGATCAGTGCAGTGCGCCAGCCGCAGCGTGCTGGCTGCAGCGGCCATTGCGGGGTGAACCAACAGAAAAAGGAAGACCTTTCTCTCTGTCTCTCTCACTGTCCACTCTGCCTCTCAATAAATAAATAAATAAATAAATAAAGTGATTGGGGAGAGAGAAACGTCTGTCCCGTCTTTTTTTTTTTTCTCTCTTCTAGTTTGGCTGGTACACTTTCCCCCCATGGGGTTCCAAGCCTTGTTCCCTCTGGACTCTCCCTGCCACTTTTTTTGCCAGTGACTTGGGCTGCTGTGGTCTGGTCTCACCTCATTTTCCAGCACTGGTACATAGGCTTTCGGCTGTTGGAGTCCCGAGCCGTGGGTGCCCACGACATCCACGTAGGCCCACCATGTCCCTCTAATTTCAGTAGAGTTTCCTCTACTGTTTTTTCCCTAACTTCCCTGAGACTACACTATCTCCACTTTTTTAAAACTATCTTCTCCTGGGATACAGCAGTAAGCTCCCTCCTTACCCTGCCATCTGGAACCTCTCACATTCTACATTTTAAAAGAAAAATGAGAACTTGGATAGAAATATATGTAATTGTGTACATTTGTTGGTGAAAAGGCCATAATACTGTACAGCTTTTTAGAAAAAAATGTTTGCTGCCTGTGATTTTGATCAGTCTCATTTAGTGTAAAAAAGATAGACTATGGAGTCTCACAAACCTGAGACTGACACTGCGCACCAGAAAGGTTACCAAAGCTTAATTTCCTCATTCATAAAACGAGAATGTAATACTTGTTGTGGATTAACCTAACATATGTAAAAGCGTATTTTCCTGGCATATGGTTAGCCTTACTCGCAAGCTTCTTTGTCCTGTGCCTTGTTCCTAATCTTTTGCAGACTACTGTTCTATTGCTTTACTACAAATGGGCCTCACTTCCTTCCCCTTTCTATCTGTACCTCGCAGAATTCTATGCATTCCTATATGCATCACCTCAGTGAAGCCTTTCCTGATCCCCAGCATTTGGATATTATTTCTTTTTCTCCTATATTGTATTTTAGATTTTTAAAAAAGATTTATTTATTTATTTGAAAGTCAGAGTTACAACAGAGAAGGAGAAGCAGAGAGGTAGGGGCCTTCCATCTGCTGGTTCACTCCCCAGATGGCTGCAATGGCCAGAATTGAGCCGATCCGAAGCCAGAAGCCAGGAGCTTCTTCTGGGTCTCCCATGTGGGTGCAGGGACCCAAGGCCTTGGGCCGTCTTCTGCTGCTTTCTCAGGCCATAGCAAAGAGCAGGATCAGAAGTGGAGCAGCCAGGACTCAAACCGGCTCCCATATGGGATGACAGCACTATAGACTGCAGCTTTACCCACTACACCACAACGCCGACCCCATGTATTTTCTTCTAGACTATAAATTCATAAGGAATTAATAACTGCTATAATTGGTAATTCTTCATTGATCCTATAATCTATGTATATCAAAACATGTGTTATATACTTTAAATATAGGCACTACAAATAAAAAAATATTAACAATTACTTAAGTTGCTATCTCCGCATATTACCTTACACGGAATAAACACACAATGATTACTTACTCATTTAGCTGAATGGCGATTTTTTTAAAAGATTTATTTATTTATTTGAAGGGCAGAATGATAGAGACAGAGAGAGAGGGATCTTCCTTCTGCTGGTTCACTGCCCAAGTGGCCTCAATAGCCTGGGATGGTCCAGGCTAAAGTCAAAGGCCTGTAACTCCATCTAGGTCAGGTTGCAAGGGCCCAAGTACTTGAGCCATCTTCCCTTGCTGTCTCAGGTGCAGTAGTAGGGAGCTGATCAGAAGTGGAGCAGCTGGGACTCAAACCCGCACTCCAGTATGGGATGCTGGCATCTCAAGCAGTGGCTTAACCTGCTGCACCACAGTACCAGCCCTAACTGAATGGATTTATAAAAGAGAATATTGGCATTTTTAGTGAAGACTTCATTAAAGAGCTCTCCTTAAATAAACGGACAGGTGATCAGTCAGAGGATAGTGAGGAATTGAGAAAAATGTAGGGTCAAATAAAGCTTTTGTTTTTTAATTATCTGTTTTATCTTGCAATTGTCTGTGAAAGGTTCCAGGTGCTGGTGCTAGTTTTCTGCTGTTACATGACCCCAAAAATTAGCAGATTAAAAAAATACACAAACATCTATTATTCCACACACTTTGAGAGTTAAGAATCCAGGAACAGCATAGATGTGTGTTTCTGGCTCAGAGTCTTTCATAGAGTGGCAGTCACACTGTCGTATGGGACTACATATTATCTGAAGGCTTCACTGGAGCTGGAGGATCCACTGCTAAACTCATTCATATGGTCATTGGCAGAAGCCTTCACTTCCTCTCCATATAAGCTTCTCTATAGAGATGCTCAAAACATGGCTTCCCTTAGGGCACGTGCTCCAAAAGAAATGAGAAAGGGGAAGAACAAACATGTGCAATGAAGACAGAAACTACAGTGACATCACACTTGTTTCCTTTATTGTATTGGCCATACATATACAAACCCACCTGGTATAAAATGCAAGGGTGTATATACACAAGGGTGTGAATACTAAGAGAATGTGGGTCATCAGGCCTCTTCTTGGCACTAGCCTTCAGTGCTTGATAACTGGGTAGTATTTATCTCAAAGGAATAATGTTTGCCTTTCCTCATGAATGAAGCAATTGATATCAAAGTTTTTAAACTTTCAAAAAGAGATTTCAATACGTTATGACTGAATGAATCCTACTGCATTCCTAGAAATGAGGTTAAAGGACCTTTAGTGAAAATTATACATGTACTTCCTATTACAGAAAAATTTGTTTTCTGTCCAGTTCTCGTTTACTTTTCTGTTAAAATATGAATTTTCTTTTTTCTTTTGATCACTCAGATTATTTTCAAGATAAAATGACCAGAGAGAGCATGACAAAAATTTCATCTGCAGCAGATTTGGAAAGCCTTGGAGAAACTAGTGATATTTTAAATATGGTAATAACTTTCTGTCTGTCTATACGGGTTTGAATTTTATTTCATTATGAGTATACATGTATCTACCCTTTTTATACCCAATACATAAAAGACTACTTTTTTAAAAAAGATTTATTTTATTTATTTGAAAGACAGAGTTACAGAGAGAGATAGAGACAGAGAAAGGTCTTCTATCCACTGGTTCACTCCCCAGATGGCCGCAATGGTTGGAGCTGCGCTGATCCAAAGCCAGGAGCCAGGAGCTTCCTCCAGGTCTCCCACACAGGTGCAGGAGCCCAAGGATCTGGGTCATCCTCTGCTGCTTTCCCAGGCATATTGAGCAGGGAGCTGGATTGGAAGTGGAGCAGTTGGGACACGAACTGGCGGCCATATGGGATGCTGGTGCTGAGGGCAGGGCTTTAACCCACTGCGCCAAGCATCGGCCCCCAAAAAGACTACTTTTTATTTTTGTTTTTTGCTTGTTTATAAACCCACTTTATTGAGGTATAATTCACATACAATAAACTTCATTTCAATCCCCAGATCATTAGTATGGCAGTTGAGAATAGATTATATTAGAATACTGGCCTATTTTATACTTGTTTTATTTATATAAATGCTTATTTATTTAGAATGTATAAATATATCATCATCAGTTTTTATTCCTTTTTGAGCATACATTTATGTTTATTTCAGACACATATGATGAGCCTGAATTCCAAAGACAAGTCATTGAAATTATCACCAGTTCAAAAACGAAAGGTATAACAAGAATTTTTTTTTCAGTATGGTAGGTAAAAACACTCTAAAATTATTTTTTCTTTGAAACATTTCTGGAAAGAACACGAGAAAGGTAAGTATTCACTTCCCATCAAGTTTGGAGAGCCTTTTTTTTCTTTCAGCAGCCATTTGGTTATTTGTAACATCTTTCATGGGTCATACAAAATCATCAGTTTAAAAATTAGCCTGCTATAGATTTATTGAATTTCAAGTCCCACCTGCAGTTTCCCTGGCAAGACCAGACCAAATGATTTTGCGGGCTTTATTAAATGGCTGTGGGCCGGATGTTCCCCATTGCTGCTTTAGACCTTAAAAGACAAAGGAATACAATGTAGATTACCTCTATTTTGGCTTGTTCAGTTGGTGTGTATTTTCTGTAATGCACTAAGTATAATAGAATTCCATTGCAGACATTTGCTCTTTAGGGTCACTAGTTAAAGTAGCCCTTGTTTTCTTCTGTGGAACAACAAATTATGATTAGAATTCTTACGCATAGGAAGATGCTGATGTTTGTTAGAGTGGCTTTCTGGTTTTGGCTGAGTGTGACTTTCAGTAGGTTATTAAGGACTTTACTGGCTGATACTAATATCTTTTCTAGCTCTATAATTTTGTGATTTTTAGCAAAAATATTTGACAACAGCTTTCCCAATTTTGCGATTGGGTTTTAATTTGTCAAGGAATTGACAGTATAAAAACAACATGAAACACTTGCAAATTAGTCAGAAATTGTTCATAGGTGAGAAAGAGAGACCTTTTGTGAATAAGTGATAGCAAGAGAAGTAGTGTGTACTTTTCACAGCTCTGGGGAGATAAAAGCCTACACTGCAATCCTTTGCTTTCCCTGGCTTTAAGGACCACTGGGATAAAAGGATGAGGAGTTTAGGAAACAAATTTTAGTGTTCCTTAAAGAATAAACCTGCCTTTTAAGCTGATACCTATTTTATTCTCACACAGTCCTTTTATTTCTATTTTTTTAAAGATTTATTTTATTTATTTGAGAAGTAGAGTTACAGACAGTAGGAGGGAGAGACAGAGAGAAAGGTCTTCCATCTGCTGGTTCACTCCCCAAATGGCCGCAACGGCTGGAGCTGTGCCAATCTGAAGCCAGGAGCCTGGAGCTTCTTTTGGGTCTCCCACATGGGTGCAGAGGCCCAAGGACTTGGGCCATCTTATACTGCTTTCCCAGGCCATAGCAGAGAGCTGGATTGGAAGAGGAGCAGCCGGGACTAGAACTGGCACCTATATGGGATGCCAGCGTAGAGGATTAACCTACTGCGCCACAGCACTGGCCCTCTCATATAGTCCTTTTAAGTTTAGCTGCTACCAGGCCACCTTTAGTGAATAAAAAATATTTACTAACACTATTTTTGTATATTAGTTTAAGTTTTCACCTGTTTTGGCTTTGGCAAAAATAATGAGCCTTTTCCAAGGCACAATTTAAAAAAATTGGTTTAGTGTGATTTCACTATCCAGAGACCCACATTTGTCAGATATTTAGACTTATCACCTTGTCGAATTTATGTCAACAAATTAACTTCATATTTTTAATGTATTCGAACCTCAATGTTTGATTCTAGAATAGTTTTTATACAAATCTTACATTTTATCCTAAGTATTTTCTTGTCTAAATACTTTTTCATGTGTGCAAACTATTACAAGGCAAAGATATAATAGATGAAAGGAAGAGGGTCAGAAATTTGAAAATCCATATAAAGGATTTTGTTTAGAAAAGAAAAAATATTCATTGCTACTTAACATATAGATAAAAAGATTGTGCATGCAGTTTTCATTTCACTTTTTTTAGGAAGTAAGCTATTAATTTTTTTCCAATTTTTAAATTTTTCATACTTTTATTTTCTTTGATTTTATGAGTTTCATGGACTGAAAAGGCAAATCAGAGTTGAGAGTTTAGCCTAGATAATCAAGATGGTGATTGGAGCCCCTAGTTCCCATACTGGCATTCCTGGGTTCAATACCCAGCTCCATTTCCTGATGTCAGCTTTCTGCTAGTTCAGACCCAGGGAGGCAGTGGTAATGACTCAAGCAATTGGGTTCCTGCCATCCAGGTAGGAGATCTGGATTGAGTTCCCAGCTCCTGGCCTAGGCCTGACTGCCCAGCCCTGGCCATTGTGAACAATGGGAAGTGGAACAGCAGATGGAAGTACTTGCTCTCTTGTGTGTTTCTCTCTCTCTCTCTCTCACTCTCTCTCTTTCTCTTTCTTTTTCTCTATCTCTTTCTCTTTTTTTCTCTCTCATTCTCTCTGTGTGTGTGTCAGCTTCTTAAATTTTTTAAAAAATCAAAATTTGGAAATCAAAAGCTATGGGGAAGGTAGAAAAAAGTATACTGAACTACATTCAAGAGAAGTGTAAATTTTTTTTTTTTTGACAGGCAGAGTGGACAGTGAGAGAGAGAGACAGAGAGAAAGGTCTTCCTTTGCCATTGGTTCACCCTCCAATGGCCGCCACGGCCGGCGCGCTGCGGCCAGCTCACCGCGCTGATCCAATGGCAGGAGCCAGGTACTTCTCCTGGTCTCCCATGGGGTGCAGGGCCCAAGCACTTGGGCCATCCTCCACTGCACTCCCGGGCCACAGCAGAGAGCTGGCCTGGAAGAGGGGCAACCGGGACAGAATCCAGCGCCCCGACCGGGACTAGAACCCAGTGTGCCGGCGCCGCAAGGCGGAAGATTAGCCTAGTGAGCTGCGGCGCCGGCCAGAAGTGTAAATTTTTTTAAAGATTTATTTATTTACTTGAGACCAGAGTTACAGACAGAGAGGGAGAGACACAGAGAGAGGTCTTCCAACCACTGGTTCACTTCCCAAATGACCACAACGGCCAGAGCTGTGCTGATCCGAAGCCAGGAACCAGGAGTTTCTTCTGGGTCTCCCACCCGGATTCAGGGGCCCAAACACTTAGGCCATCTTCTAGCTTTCCCAGACCATCAGCAAGGATGCTAGATCGGAAGTGGAGCAGCTGGTACTCAAACTGGTGCCCATATGGGATGCTGGCACTGCAGGCGGCAGCTTTACCCACTATGCCACAGCGCCGGCCCCAAGAAGTGTAAATTTTTTAACAGCATCTGAAATCAGTCTGGAAATGTCTTATATGTAAGGACTGATTCAGATTGAGAAAAGAGAGTATTGATGGGGTTGTGATTAGTGACACAATTGAAATAAGCAGTAAGAATTGAAAGCAAAACATAGGTGCATGTTACTAAATTAAATTACATGTGCCACAGACCTAAAGAATGGTATAAATTACCCCTAATTAAAAGGAAACTTCAACAAAACATCTGGTTAAAATGGATATCTTCATTCTCCTAGAGAAATTTGTAAAAATGTAAAGCCTTGGCAGTAATTTATACTAGATAAGTTACCTTTGTCAACTAATAGTAGTATGACGATTACTTCAAAAAATTTGCAGAAACAAGAAACATTTGTGAAAGTGATGCAACCTGCAACTCAGACTGGAAAGGATGATAATAATGGATATGAAGAGATGGCAAAAACAAAAGAAGGGAGGATGTATAAGCAGCCTGTGGCAAAAGGGATATTCATGATGCAAGCAGCTGAAAGTATGGAAGCATTTTCAGATGAGGAAGTAGGTAATAATCCAGGCCAGATGGGGCCTCGGGCCGACACCAATGGAGAGGGTTTGCAAAAAGAGATACTTAGACATGAACATAAAAGTGATGTTGATGAGCATGCTGCTGAGGAAATAGAAAAGGAGAGTGCTGAAGGACACAGTCAGCAGGATTCAGAAGCAGAAGAAATAGTCTCTGGGACCGAAACTGAGCTGGCGAATATAAGAAAAAGTGAAGAGAATAGAAAAAATATTAGTACATTCTCTGATAACTTATCAGCTAGAGATATGAATATGGAGAATGAAGAAAATAAGCGATTTGTTAAGACAGGGAAATGTAGCAAGCAAGATGTGACCTTTGACAATGAAAGAGAATCGATAGAAGAGCAAGAGAGTTACATGGAAAGTGAAAGTGAGAGTCAGCAGGGTACAGCTGATGGATTCGAGCAGCCTGAGTCTATAGAATCTAGTAGTGGAGAGAAAGACGATGATGAAGTGGAAACTTCCCCAGACCTGTGGTATAGTAGAAAATATATTGAACAAGAAAATGAGGAAGACATCGAACCCAAAATGTCGAAATTCATGACAAAATTTAATTTTAAGTGTGGCCATTTGTCAGAGATCCCAGAAGAGCAGGAAGGAGTAGATGATTCAGAAGA